CAAGAATGTTGAGAGGTTGAGAAGGTTGTTGGCACCAGGGAGAGAACTAAAACCTGCAGGATGCCGGCCCTCCAGGACCGACTTTGGTTACCGCTGACCTTGACGGTTCCCCTCAAAGTTCAGCACACTGAGACTCAATGGCGAGCAGAGGCAGGAAGGACAAGGACCAGCGATTCTCAAAGTCGGTATTTAGCACCAAACTGAAAAAATACTGGAATACATCAGGTACAGGTAAATCAATCCCAGAGTTTCTAGATTTAGAAACTCCCATCAATGCCTAGAGAGCCCTAAGACTGGAGGACAACTCCCGGCTGCTCAGGAAACGGTTCTATACTGTTTGTTTGTTTACCACAGAAATCACCTCTACTCCAAAGTGGTTTGTGTCCTTAATCTGCGTCCTTGTTGCTTTCATGTTCCCATTCTGTCTCTGTGTGTGTGTATCTATGATCATAAAGGGACATATGCTTTGCCGTGACGACACGGGTTTTCTCAGGTGTACAGAAGGGGGATGGCACCCCCCACCAATCTGGGGCCAGGCCCCCAAAAGGTAGCAGATTTAGCAACAACATGCAGCAGATGTGGGAATGAAACTGCATGGACCACAGGGAAGAAAATGTCACACTTCTCAACCCCAAACCTACGATAACCACACAATTCAACACTCCCTAAAAACCCACAACACAGCAGACTAGCTACCCGCAGTCGCAAAGTTTCCCCAACACAGCAATATCCAGAGACCATGACTCTTCTCTGTACATGGCCACAAACACCCATAGAGGCACAAAAACCACTCACGGGTCTTTCTATAAAACCAGAAAACTCATCCCTGCCTCCATCTAGGCTAGTACCTAACCATTTCACTAAGGCATAGCAATTTCTAAGTGCCTAGCTGTCAAAAAAGTTTCCCTTAAAGTTTGTTTAGCATTTTTGGGTTGTTTACACCAACGTTATGGGAGCCATCTGCTTGACTTCTGGAGCTCTGGGTCTGACTCCAGCCTCTTAATGACCTCTCACACATAAGGCCTGGGAACAGAAGGTTCCCTCTTACCATACGAGGAAGTGCAGTGTACCTTAGATAAAACTCTGCCTCCCCCAACACCCATACCACAAACACATGCACACCCACAGCAGCCATCTGCACAGGCAAACACACACAAGCTCGTCAGGCCTTGTGCCATCTCTGCCTGTTTCCTCTGTGGGGTTTGTATCTCATGGCGTCTGAGTGGCAACTCCCCCCCCAACTGGCCCTCCTGCCTCCTTGTCCTGTCAAGTGCACTCAGAGGTACGTGTTTGCAGCTTGAGTAACTACTAGAATGGGTGGTGACACATAAATTATTGCCCATATGCTGCACACTTGCTGTCTTCTTTTTTCTTTTTCTTTTTCCCACCACAACTCTTCAGTTAACTGAATTTGGACGGTAAAAAGAACGAAAGCGTGAGCCCACTTCACCAGCATCCTCAGCTAAATACACAAACAGGAGATTTAAGTAAGGACAGAAGACTTGTTGAACCCAACCTTTAGCTTAGGAAAGCAGAATTGAGAAATCATGAAATAACTGCAAGCAGTTTGCTCCATTTTACTCTGTTCTTTTACTTTCCTTCCCATGCCCGGGCCTGGTAACGTCCCGAAATCCAGGATTAAGAAATCTCTTAAATATGATCTATCTGGCAGCATGAAGTAGGCTGAAAGACCTCAGAAGGCAATACATCACGCACCGAGTTAAAATAAATTTAAGAACAGACTCGAAAATAAGTCACTGACATCTGCAAGTCATTAAAAAAAAAAGAAAAAAAGATAAAAATCTTTTTTCTAAAGCCTTGGGCCTCCAGTAAAACCACAGAGAGAGCCATTATCCACAAATGGAGAAAAACTAGGAAAAGTGGCCAGGCTACCAGAGATTACTCAATAAACACGTCCTAAAGGTCGTAATATAATTTAGACGGTCTAAAGCAGAGCTGGCCTCGCTTGAATCAGACACACGAGTCGGTGTTCATGGTTCACCAGCAGGAAAGAGGCTGGGGGGGAATAACGGCCTTCCTGCGAGAGATCCAAGGCAACAACCACTGCTGACAATAACAACATGAAGGCCCATCTGAAAACATCTTGAGCCGCAAGAGATGGAACAAAGAAAAAAAAAGAAAAGAAAAGGTTTTTGGAAGTGTGAGTCCCATTAGATATGTAAAAATAACACAGGCCAGTAGAAAAAGAATATCATGGTGATAGTGTTTTATTAGTTTAGAGAGATTTCTGAAACCGTAAATCCTGAAGGGAGAAATCTCTCTGATTTCAAGCTGAAGTGTAACTTGGCTTGTGCAACAACCTGAGTTAGTACAGCGAGTCTGGCAGTGAGTTCCTCAAAAAGTGACTAAATAACATTTTTCAAGAAAAAAAAAAATACGTTTTGGAGTGGCATAATTAAAACCTAGCTCTTTATCAGATTAATATGCTCTGGATGACCTTCATAAAGCTGCTTGAACGTCTTCCAGCGTGTTATATTTAAAATGAGGAAATTATCATTTTTCTAGGAATAATTCACCAAATTTCCTGTGCAGCGATGTGAAACACTTAATCCACATCAGCATGTCGCAGTTTTTTTAGTCTCAATAAAGAAAAAAAACATTTAAAACCTGCTTTTTGTGTCCACTCTAACATTGTTTTCTTTGATGTGAAACATTTAAGTGCAAAAAAAAGTAACAAATCTTAAGAGGAACAAAAAACTTATTTTTCTGTACTGAGTTTAGTTCAAACAATAGGAAATTAAACTGGCTAAAAAGCGACATAAGAGGATCCCAGGATACGTTTCTTAAAGAAGAACAAGGTTTGTGACGATGCCACCTTTCAGCTTCCAGTCATGGGAGTCCGGTGCATATGGGAACGTGTTTCAGTGTACATCAAGGCAACCCTTATTTCACAAGCAGGACTCGATGCTATCTGTGTAAACAATGGTAGATGACTGACAAAAAAGAACGGAGCCCGAGCATCACATGTTGTAACATGAAGCATCACATGTTGCAGAGAAAACAAAACAACGTTGTGATCCGGTCAGAGGGAGGGAGTTGGGTCATTTAATGGAGACCCCGGAGGCATGTTGTTCAACGCTTCTTTTCTCAAAACGAATCCGATGTTTTGAATCGCCGGCCACTCAAAGCGGCGCTACGCTCTCTGGAAATCCGGACCAAGACCCAAAAATGTTCTTGCTCCTGTGCAGGGTGTCGGGCCTGGGGTCTCTCTGGTGGCCCCGGTTCACAGGCCCCTCTGTTTCCTTCCAACCGTGCGCCAAACGAGGCGGTTTTTCACATTAAACCGCCAGATTTACCACAAACAATGTTTTTTTGGAAAGCGACATGCTTATCAAATTTACAACCACTCCGAGGAACCACAGCTTGTTGAGCAATTGGAGACGCCATATATCAACCTGCAGCTCAACACTCAAGGGGTCGTGTGTCCTTTTTTTTAAATTGAATTTCTTTAGATTAAAACTGGTTACTCTCTAAAAGTGACAACAGAAGAAACTATCATTTCAATGATAGTTTGAAAGGAAACAACTGGAAGTTTTTTTTTTACTGCTTCTGACTAACAAACTTCTTCGCCTCAATGATGGGATTTCCTGCCGCCTCTTATCACTTAGATCCTACAACAATGGTCACTGCCCTCATCTGAACGCTTCGAGTGACCAGATGTGTTTTTCTGCTCCGGAGTCCATGAGGGCGAGTGGAAATAGAAAAGACAGAATGGCTTCAGTTAAATGGCCTCAGGGTGTTGATGTGACCACCTGCAAAGATAAAGCTGTCAACAGACAGCATTGTGAGGTTCTTCAGCATCGCTAAAGACTTAAAAAAAAAAAACCCTAAGAAAGAAATGTTGCTATTTTTTTAAACTTTAAAGATATGGACTGTCATTTAGATTTATTTTCCATTGTTTGTGAAAATATTAAATTCCCTGACAGTAATATGAAGTTATTTTTCATTCATTTCTTTGAGTTTGACTTGAAATCAGATTAAAACTTTTCTATTTTAGGGCAGTTATTATTTATTTATTTTACAGAGATTTCCTTTCCAGGCTTTCGGAAGTTTAGAATCATTTATGTAACGGTGTGACAGTGTACATAACTTTCCAAAAGACATGATGCTTTAGCCTCTGCTCTCTCTTGTACTTAACAAGGAAAGCTGCTATCAGGTCTAAGTGAAATATTTGCTATTTTTCTGAAACATTTGCTTCTGCCCTCCTGGGTGGCCTTTCAGTCCATATATCTAAAAGACTCATTTTGCAGAGGATAATTATATTCTCATTTTCTGGTAGATCCGTGGACCTCTGTGCCGCTGTGTGCACCTCCTTCCTGGTATGACAGCTGGAAATAAACCACCGAATTTGTACAGTATGCCCATGCATTTTCTTTAAAGTATGAATGTGGTGCCTTCAGGCACCTGACATTTCCAAAGCTCTTCTTGTAGCATCCTGGGTGACAGTCTGTTTTCCCCTGATATCATACCAGGAAGTGGTGTTTTTAATGGCACAGATTTAAAATAAATAGTCCATGAACTCAAATGTTGTGATTTTGTTTGACAGACTAACTCAAAGTGTGAGATGAAAGGCAATGTTTGCGTGGTTTTCAAAATCTCTATGCAAGCGTGACTGGAAAGTCACTTTGCCATTAAGATGTGGAGGAGATAAGAGCGGAAACAGTCCAGACAGTATTGTGCAACGAGATGCCTGTTCTTCGGTAGGTAGATGCATCATGGAACTGGTCAGAACATGGATGCAGCAAAATGCAGGACAATCCTGTGAAACACAGGAACGTGGTGCAGCCACGGACAGTTAGCCTACACGTACCGCTAGTGCTTCATGATTTAAAACAAAGCACCCACGTGTTAGAATGGCCCTGTGAGAGCACAGAATTAAATCTAATAAATGTCAATTTGATGTTTGCAGACGGTAGCTTCTCAAACTACAGTAAAAATCAGGAAAATGGATCAAATTCAATCACGACCAAAAGCAGAACTGAGAGTTCAATATACACAATTTTATTTACATTGACACTTGTAATAGCAACATTTAAGATTTACACAGTAACTCTGAAGCTTCAAATAAATACACAGGGGAAATGCAGCAAGCAGTTGCATGAAAAATAGTCTGGTATTCAATAAGGCTCCTTTCCCAATTGTATAATTTTGTCATATTCAACGTTTTCTGATCGGATCTGACCATTCGGAGCAGTGTCACTGGAGGAAACTAGTAAACTTGCCAAGTGCAGCGAACAACTGGAATTGGCCAAAATGAAATCCTTTCTGTTAATAACGTCGTAGAAAGAAGAGCAACATGCAGATTCTCTGGTTGAATCTATATATCTGTGCACCTATACGAAAATAAAGCATAATAATTTCTGTATCACTGTACCGCTTCTTCATTAGCATAAACATCTTCCAAAGTACTGATGTTACTTTGTAATATACGCACATATGTATTTACAAAAAGACGAGAGCAGTAAGACTGTGGGGTCTTTAGTAAGCTAGATGAATCTGTAGTAGTGGCACCTCTTGACAGTAACTCTTTGAAACTCGCACACGCTCACACACACGAAGGAGGACGGGCACACTGGCTCACGCGCACACACACACACACGTAGCACACGCAAACAGGACACTTTCCACTCCTCTGAACAACACCCACAGCTGGGAGAGATGCCGGGACCACTCCAGACGACTGGCTGAGAGGCGCTGAAAATCCCCCTCTTCCGACAGAGGAAACAACTGGATGACCCAAAAAAAAAAAAAGAAGAAGAAGAAGAAGAAGAAGACGAGATGGACGGCAAGGAAACCAGCTACTGGCCAGAGAACAATGAGATGGCCAAACACAATAAGTTCTGCACCGAGTGTCACCTTCTGAACGCATAGCTAGGAAAGAATCTGTGATGTTTTCTTCTCTTCCCTCTCGCTCCTATCACCTCAGGGGTTACTGCAATCCAACCTAATGGCATATCACATCAGGTTCAGCGTGTCTTAGTTGGAGAACTGCACCTGCTCGCCAGCATGGGGTGACACACCAATCTGAGTTGGTTAAAACAAACAAACAACAACAAAAAAAAAAATCCAAACCGACAGATACCCCCCCCCCCAAGAGTTGGGGGGGGAAGTTGTGAAAACACATCTGAGAAATGGCAGTACCTACCTCACGCTTGTAAACATATAAACAGCGGGAGATGTGGGAGGAAACAGTTATGTACATCTTTTACAAGAGATCGATACCTCTCGCGGTCCAGCTGTCAGCAACGCAAGGAAGCATTAAGGGTCGCATACCACATCTATATCTATGCTGTAGCTGCAGTCATGCACTGATCATGGTGTTTGCTTAACTAAAGTCCCAAAAGTCGTTTGCGTTTGAGGTGCTGCCGTCCCGGATTTACCTCCGAATGAACTCGAAGCACTTATGGATATGTCGCCGTTGCCTAATAGCTTAGAAGTGTCTGTGTCATCGTATCTCGGTTCAAATTGGCCCCCGAATGTATCTTCTTCATACAGCATAGATCTGCACAGTCGGAAAGTAATACTGACAATGAAAGTGATAAAAACAAAAGAGAAAAAAAGTTGTATTATTTGCATCATGTGATGTATGGAATAAAGAAAAGTTTAAGTGCCTCGAGTGCTTTCTTTTCCAACAACTGCAACAGTCAAAAACAAAGAAAAAGAAAGAAAGAAAAAAAAAAAACGCAAACGATGCTCTATGACAGAAAAAAACAAAAACAAAACAAAGAATAACCCAAAAAATAACACCAAAGTAAAAAGAAAAACAGACATCTGCTATATGTGGACTGATCCCCCCATCCTCTCCTTGAAAAAAAAAATAATAAAATGATGAAACAACTTTAATGAAATGTAAAGGAGACATGAAAAAGTGTAAAATAACCAACCAATGTAACAGTGTAATAACATGATGAGTAATGTGTGACGGCTGCCCAGCCTCTGTGGTGCCTTCAGACTTCTGGAGCTTGGGAGCAATAGTCCAAGTGTCCTCCCAGCACTGAGCAGGCAAGAACAGCGATCGCAAAGATAAAATCCGTTTGTCCACGGACGCGCTTACTGTTCTTACTGCAACCTTCGCTGGTAACGGGGGGATTCGGGAGAGGGAGGGCGGAGGCGGACGAAAAGTAGTGGTTTGGATGATTTGTGGCGAAACATCACAGGCACTTTGAGGCAGCCAAACAAGTCCGGCGGGTCCTTACACCCACTGGGCCTGAAGGTTTGTCCCCTCCACGAAGACTTCATGCTGAACCAGTAGGGGCTGCGATGGAGCGCTCTTACTGCTGGCTGAGAAAGAGCTGAGAGTCGCTGTGCTCTGAGAACTGGATTCCTCCCTCGCTCTAGGCAACACAGGGAGTCTGGAACTGAAGTTCAAATAAATCTGAGAGAGACAGAAGAGAGGGAGGGAAAAAATATCTGTTGGAATGGATTTTCAGATGCTTCAATTTGTGGGAACTCAGTATTTTTCTTTCTGTTTTTTTCTAAGCCTGACTGTCGAAGATATTTCCAGAGATTTGCAGAAGTATTAGCTGCCCTTTGCCGATTACACATTTTTTTACACTACCATCACAAACTCAAATGAATTTTGTTGGGTTTTTTTTGCTTGTTTGTTGTTTCGACACGGTGCAGCACACAATGGTGAAGTGGAAGAAAAATAATACAAACAGCTAAAAACATGAAAAGCAGTGGCATCCATCATTTGTTTTCAAAACCCCTCTAGTATAACTAACCAATGAACATTTTTCCGGTCTGATTGAGTTGGAACTGTACTGCCAAGAGGAACAAGCAAAACTGCTAGCGTCCAAGTCAATTAGCCAAAGATGAAAGATAACTGCACAGTATTTTTTAGTTGATTAGTCAAAAAGTTTGAGAACTGTTATTAATCGTCTTTCTCTTAGTATTTACATATTGTGCTGTTACAATCTGACATTTAGAAACTGACATTTGTTATTGCATCACTGCAAAATGTTGCAAAAGTTTAAGGAGTTTTTTTTTTTTTTTCCAAAGAGAACACTGCAGTGTAAGTGAGCGTGGGAGAAATCTTCTAAATGTTACACCGGTAGGCAAACGTGTAATGTTATATCTGAGAGAGGGAGAATAAACGTAAACAATTTACATGACTTTTTTTTCCTCATCTGGTTTTACATTTTTCATCAGCTCAGAGTTTTGTGTTTACGGAACGAGACGTGCCGTTGACGGCGGAGGCAAATCAGGCTGTCGTCCAGAATGGTGATAATTGAGCCAAAGAATCTTGCTCATGTTTACACTGTCTAAAGGAAGACTATTTAGCAAAGCGTCTGTTGATGTGAAGCTCGTACCCTGAGGGAACGTCAAGGCACCTGGAATGCAGGGAAACTGTCATGACGCAGACGGATTGCTGGACTGTTGTTGAGACGTTTCTGGAGGCGAATTTTAGTCTTTCACTGACTGATTTATTGCCCAGTCTCGCACCACCAACTAAGAAAGGTTGGTGGCGTCAGCTAACTCCCGCACTCTTTGGTTACCAGTTGAGTAACTTGCGCAGCAGCGGTTTGAGGTTTCTGCCTCATAAACGCTCAAAAATGAATAACGCTGCAGAGTGACAGAGAAGGTCATGCCACCAGTTAGGCTTTATTTCAGATATTTAAAACATGAAATGATTAATATGTGCCAATACTGACTGATTTGAAAGGCGTGTATAGCGATACGATTTTCCAGCCTTGTTGTCCAGTTAAAGTTGGTCTCCAGTTCACCAAATAAAACCAAAACTTTTTCCAACTTTCAACCCTTTGAAGTCTTCCTGACATTTTTGAGGAATGTGATTTTAATCTTTGTGCCGTTTCAGAAAACGGTGCAGAAATAGGTGAACCTACATGTTTAGTGGCATCCGACAGCTGCTGCTCAATGCTCTCAACCACTTTCGTGAAGGGGGGTCTCTTGAAGGGGTCCGCATCCCAGCAGGAACTCATGATTTGATACCTGCAGCCAAACACACAAGCAACATGATGTACCGTCAGCAAACACAGAGCATCTTCTGTGCAGTGCTGTTTTATCAACAGATCTTTCATTAATCATTTGCTATTCTTGTGCGCGGCCAAACGCAACAGAACATGAGCGGGCTGTGACTCAGCTCCTCAATGTTGCATTCTTGCATATCATTTCATCAAAGCACAACATCTCTCCGTTTGATGATGCATTTTGAAGTCCGTCACGTTCCAGATCAACAGAAAACTCACATTTCGCTGGGCGCGAACTCCGGCGCGTCCATCCGGTATCCTTCTTTTATCTGTTTGTAGAATTTGGCGTCCACAGGCATTCCAGGATACGGACTGTTTCCTACGTTCAATAGGAATCTCAGGTTACTTTGTGCAGCTTTCTCAGCACCCAGATAAGCCGGGATAAAAGCGGCATGGACGGAGAAACATACCCAGTGAGAAAATTTCCCAAAGCAAGATGCCATAGGACCACACGTCACTCTCGAACGTGTAGACGCACTCAAAGATGCTTTCTGGGGACATCCACTTCACCGGCAGGCGGGCCTGAAACAGAATACCTCAATAAATAGGCGCTGTACATAAATGCAGTCCATATTTTTATTTATCTCAAATACAGATTTGACAGAAAGTTTAATAAGCAAAACAGCCAAAGTAGTTCATGGCTCTTTGTCTGAGGTTTGTAAAAAAAAAAAAAAGAATAGAAAAGAAGAACCTCAGACAGAGGTCTGATATTAAATCTGAAAAAAACAGTAAGAAAATTTTTCTAATTTAATTCAATTATTTTAGAGGTTATACTTTCAAGAGAAAGGAGCTGAAATATGTAACCACACGAGACATGCATCATAGGAACTCACAGTTCCTAATAATTCATTTTTAGTGGTTTAATGAAATGCTATACTGGCTAAAACATCTTGTGCTGTTTCCTTTGAAAAACAACTTAAAAAACCCTTTGTACTCAAGAGGTTTGCTCCAGAATAACAAATGGCTGCATAGATGCAATTTAGAAAAGCCAAACCGCATTAAAAAAGTGCAATTTTCTGGCTTACTTGCAAAACTATTCCCAATGTCGAACATTTTGTTGTTTTCCTTCAAACTGTTATGTACTTTGTCAAAATTTTAGAGGATAGATTCATACATGTTTTATTTTGTATTGTGTTTGTTTTTCTTAGCTTTATTTTTTCAACTACATCCACAGACATACATTTTCAGATCTTGCCAGAGATTCTCACTGGCTTTGGATCTGGACTTTGAGAGATTTTGATCGATTGATGGGCCTTAATGTAACCAGTTCAGATTCTGAACTAACTTTAGGTTTGATCTTTAATTGCTCTGTTTTAACACATTATTTAATTCTTTCACTATGGCTCTCCTGCTGGGGGGCGTGCTCCAGGCTGAATCTGTTGAAATTGCAAACGGGACTTTCTTTGAGGATTTTATCACATTCAGGGTCTGCATTGGCTAACTTGTGTAGGGGTCAATCGTCTTTGTAGGTGGAGAAAAGTGATTTACCGATGATTTTTGAGTGAACAGGACTCAAAAATAATTTCTAACAGGAAGAGCAGAAATGTGGAATTTGATAGCTTGTGATCAATGAACTGCCAGCACCGAGTCCGAGGCCTTAGGCATTTAAGAAGAAAAATGTTTGTGAAAGTGGCTGAATAGAACGGGCGTAAATACAAATGCATGAGACATTTTTTATTTAATTTAGTTTTGAAAAAAAGTAACATAAACTATTTCACCAGACTTTATTGTGTTTTATCACAATAAAGTCTGGTGAAACATGCTGGAGACTGCGGCAGTACAATAACAAATCTCGGAAACAATCATTTGGTGAAAAAAAACAACTTTTTCCGAGGCACTCGAGAGTTCATTGTTATATTTGTAATTCTTCATTAAGTGCATCTGAAAAGCAGAGAATCGCGTCTTTGTTTCTCGAGCGCCATGCCCTCAGATCAAACTACCAACATAAATGTGGGAGAACCACAAAGTGTGACGAAGTGCAAGGTTCTTAAAAATCTTGCCTCGACCTGAAATCTGCTGCACAATAATGCTGAGTCAGCAATTGTGGATGAGTATTGTAACTCAAATCCCTGTGTGTGCAAATCTCGATCCAACATTTGTGTCATGTAATGATCGGGCCTTGAAGTTTCCTCATTAGTCAGCCAATAGCTAATTCTTACTGCTCTGAATTAGCCACCGTAACTTCATGACAGCTCTACTTACGTTGCCCTTGACCACGTAGTTCGAGTCCGTGGTGATGTCCCTCGCCAGGCCGAAATCGCAGATCTTCGCCACTCTTCCTTGAGTCAGCAGGATGTTCCGGGCGGCGAGGTCTCTGTGAATGCACTGAAACGAGACGCGCCGCAGTGGTCACGCGCAAGCCTCTTCTCGTAACAGGCTGACTGTTTTTTTCCGTGCCGGGCCGTGTAACACACAGCCACCGACATCGATACGCAAGCTCTCTGGACACAGTATCTGCGCCTCCGCGGGGGGATACATTTTTCAACAACATGCTCAAACATGCGTTTTAGATCCGTTTACTAGCTGAGGAAATGCGAGCAGCTCTTCCCATGACAGGCACGCGCGCGGCGTCTGGTTATCAGATGTGATGGGGTTTATTCCAAAAAAAAACACCAAAAAATCTGCTCATAGAAAATCTGCAAACTGCGAGGAGCAGAAGCTTACATTTTTGGAGGCTAAGAACTCCATGCCTTTGGCCACTTGGTACGAGAAGCTGAGGAGATCCTCGGTGTCTAGAGACAAGTCGTCCTCATCGAACATCTCGCCGACCGCGTCAGCTTCGAGGTACGGGCCACCTGAGGGGGGAAAGGAAAGGGTCAAGAGAGATGACCGTTCCATCTCTGTGTTTAAAGTTTTGTTGTTTTTTTTTTCTTAGGAGAGTGGAAGTTTGATGAATGGCTGGCCGGCTTGCCTTTGCGTAGTGACTGTCTCCGCTCCGAGGACGAGCTCGACGGTGAGTTGCCAGCGACAGAAGGCCTCATGCTCATGTAGCCGTTCAAGCTGTCACTGTGAAGAGGAAAGGAGCAGTCTGGTCTGAGCTCAGTCCTGCTGTCCAAAGACCCTCCCACGCACGATCTGTATCGAAAATACTAGTACTCTCATCTTTTTTTGTTTTTTGCTTTTTCCCGCCCATCACAAATCACTTTTGAAGCAAAGCCTCACCCGTCTGCAGCTCTCTGTTGTATGAAGTTGCGGTAGGAGTAGTTCTCCTTTAGCTCACAGGTGCTGAAAGATTCTCTCTTTCTCCGGAGGAAGTTAAGAAGGTCCCCAAAGCAGCAATATTCTGTGATGACCAGCGTTGGTCCTAAAGATGGAGAAGCAGGTCTCATCAAACGAGCTTCCAGAATCCATGACACGAAACTATTTCACATTTCAGCCATAAGCTTACTGTGTTTTATTTGGGATTTTATGTGATACACATAGACTCCAAGCCAAATCTCAACTAAATAAATCTGACTCTTCCAGTTTCAATCCGCTGCCTAAAACAAATAAAACAAGACAACATGGATGCCACACCTCCCACAGTGCAGGCTCCCAGCAGGTTGACGATGTTGATGTGGTTTCCCAAGTAACTGAGGACCTTCAGCTCTGACATCAGTGCCTCTTTCTCCGTGGCATGAGCGCTTGCTGTAATAAAAGCAGCAAGATAAGAATTTGCAAAAGGGTAGAAGCACAGGCATCTCACGTTGAAATACGATTAGTTGTTCTTATCTGATTGCTTCGTGGGTTGAATAAGGAGATTCGTACCGCAGGGTAAATATAAAATATATTGCTTTAGAAGCAGAATGCAAAGCTTGAAATGCCAAATGACAAGTTTGAGCAAGACAGCTACTGAGCACATTAATCATATTTGTTCGTTGGGTGTGCAGGGGCAGAACTTACATTTGAGCATTTTCACCGCGACCGTCATGACCGAGTCAGCGTTGGAGAGTCCATACGCTGTGGCCTCCACCACTTTCCCAAACGCCCCAGATCCCAACGTCTTCCCTAGAAAGAACAGAGGTCAGACACAATATATCGTTATGCTCTGTGCTCTTTTTTTTTTTTCCCTTTCCCAAACAGACTGAGCACCAGCGCTTCCAGGGCAGCAACAGTTTTAGCCCCGGGGCTGTGTGTGCAGTCACCAGGACGTGTAGGATCCTGTTTGAAGAGGGCTGTTGAAAACAACACCCAGAATATGTCAACAATATTGTGTTTGCATAGGAGGAGTGCGGTTTCTTTCTCTTTGAGCTGCGGAACGAGTTGGTCAGTAACAAAGACAAACGCGGCTAATGCCTTAATGCAATGCACACAAATGTGGAACAAAAAGAAAAAAACGGTAAATCAGCGTAAAGTAGCCAGAGGGTGTCATTGTCATGCCTGACAGTGCGGCGTGGGCTTTATGATTTTAACTGTGACTGTTTATCTCTCCAGTCTTACCTCCACCCGACACATAACAGCATGTGTTGGGTGGAGACATGAACTTATGACTTGGGTCACAAGTGCAGGGGCGTGTCAGCTTGCTATGACCTGTTAATTGCGGCGTCCGTTCGAGGGCGCCGACTCGTCGCCAGTGGACTTCGTGCTCACCGAAACGCAGGTTGTTCCGTGGGAACTCCCACTGGTGATTGTAGGGCAGCTGCGTGGGGTCGATGTACACATAGTTGTTGCCGTGGATTCCCTCAATGACTTTCCACTGGATCTGGTATTTGGGTTTCTGACACACACGCAGACAGACGGAATTAAAAGACAACAGAGGCACGTGTGGACTCATGAATTCGTGACGGACGCCTCGTACGCCTGACTGCAGGGCGTGCCGCACGCAGGGAAAATGCATCGCCGGCTTACCTGCATGTACTTGTAGAGCAACAGGATAACAATGAGACAGAGGATGCCTGCTGCTGATATGAAGCCAATTAGGAGAGGAGTGAACAGACCGTGCCTTTCCTCTGCAGGGAGACGGAAAAGATAATGTTAGATAACCAAAGGCCCAATCAGTGACTTGTTCACTGGTTTGTTGTGGTTGCACTGCAGATGACATTGCAAAGGGGCATTAAGGTAAGCCAGAGAAGGCTAAGCCATAGTGAAGCACACTTTGATCAAATAGCAGCAAACTAATCCCATTACACAAATTTATCCAAGTTTGTTTTTTTTGTTTTTTGTTTCTCCTGCTCTATTGTCCTGTGATTTCACACCGCTCGTTTCCAGCATCCCATGCTACTTTTGCGGCTTCGCCGGCGAGCGGTCGCATGCAAACGTTGTTCTGTCCCCTTTGTGTCTGGCCGCTTGTGATGCCTCATTGTTTTGCTCCTCTGTACACGCCGGGGTGTAATAAGCTCTTTAGCGATAAGGAGCTTTCTCTCCACTTCAAATCTGAGAATGCCGAGTCTGCAGGAACTAATCCCCTGTAAACCTGTCAGTGGGTTCTAAAGCTCTGTTTTCTTCGCTGCAGCTCACTGACACCTACAAGCCTCCCACAGACCACCGAGTGCCCAGTGCCGGGGCTCCCACTGCGCTCCTACACGCTCATGCGCCTCCGCCTGGTCTGCTGCTACTCTGTGTTTAACGAATCCTGGGACTGGCTCCCGAAGGCATGTCCTGCCTGGCCACAAACACGCACTGTCCCCATAATGCACACCCACATACCCCCCACCCCCTTCTGCACAAAGCAGTTTCTGCAGGCTCAGACTGGGAGAACTTTGGTGTACTTTCAGCTGCTGCACCGCCGCTTTTAGGACATTATGCAGCAGATGGGGCGGCCGTTGCAGGAGAGGGGATTTAGAGTTGTAACGTACACAGAGGGCCGGAGCTAATTCTTGTTTTTGCGCCTTGTTGCAGCCAATCACCTCTGAGGTAGTATCTCTTTGTTAATGTTTACCAAATGGATGGGAACCAACCAAGGGTTAGCAGTGAGCTCGGGGTTAATCTTTGGCAAAAAATGATTGTTTTCAGTAAACAAGTTGAGGCTCAGGAATTATCACTTCTTAAGATTTACTGTGGGGGGTCGAGCCCACCGGGTCGATCGAGATAACGTAGAAGAATCTGGAGAATCGGTGCTTGAATAAAGAATACATTTTGGTTCTTAAGTATAAGATGCCAATCAACATTGGGAAAAAAGTAAATATGGTGAATACACCTCTACAGTCAAGAAGGTCAGATAAATAATATTAGCAATAAGTTTTCAAACACTCTGGCAACATTTGTTTACTAAAAAAGATCTTAATGTACTGTGTGTGTGTATAAAAGATCTAATGAAATACAAATTATCAGAAGTACAAATAAGCTGCCTTTTCTTACATAAATTGGCCATATTGGCTGCATGTATGAGAAATGTCCCATTGTGACTTCCAACTTCTCTGGATGTCTCTGCTCATTTCACTCAATAATTTAACTCACAATTTATCTCCATTCCTCAACCAATCAAGCAGATGGTCGATGTTTTATTTAAAAGCATACTTATTAGGGGTATTTTTTAAATCCATGCTTTCACATTTAGCTTCAACCTTAAAACGAGTGTGAAGACCCAATGAGCCCGATCAACCTGCACTGACATCGCCCATCTCCCTGTCGGTGGAAACAGTTTCTTCTTCATGTGAATGCATAAACCGGATGCAAATTTACCCGTGATAGAAAACAGTATGTGGGACTGCTCTCCGTCCCCGATGGCGACGCACTCCAGAGTACTGAACCGCCTTCTGATGTTGACCCAGCTCTCCACCCTCTTCTCGAAGCTGGTGCTTCCCGACATGATGGTCATGACGGCGCGCTCTTCATGGGTGGCGTTTTTCTGCTGGGAGCACCTGGAGGCACATCTGTTTGTTAGTATTTCATCACCGGGTCCCTTTCTCAGCAAACCTACAGCTTCACTTTACAAAAGCTACAAGCAGCTGGTCAGTGACCAGAATCGACCAATCCTGCTTTGGTTGGCTTCTGCTTGGGAAACGGAAAGGAAAATATGGAAAAATTAGATTTTAAAATCTTTAAAGTAAATCAGATTTTGAAATACATTTTTAATGATATAAATATTCTATATTTATATAAATAGATATTAAAATAATTAAAATGTTTTAGTCTATTAGTTAATCATTTACAAATTTAGTTGTAAATGATTAACTAATCATTTAAACTAATGATTAGTTTAAATTGCAAATGCTATGAAGCATTTGCAATTTAAACTACAATCTCTACATTATTTCTCTTTTAATTAAGACATTATTTAAATTTTTTGATTTAAGATGCAAATCAAAAAAAGTGCTGCATGAACTATTAAATAAATGGACTCAGTCAAAATTAGAGATAGGAGATTTGCCCGCAGAAAAAAACAGAAATCTGTTTTAGACTGATCAGTTCATCTACTGCCTTTGACTGAGAACATTTTAAAGAAAAAGCAGAAACACATCTTTATTTTCTTATCTGAATCACCTACTGCTTTGGTCTTGTGTGGGAAAGAAAACGTGACATTTCTGTTTTTAGAAAACAAAAGTTGGTCGTGTAAAATTAGCACCCAGGCTCCACCGATCCCAGCGCCGCCCCACAGAGAGCGGCGCAGAAATCAGCAATACCTGCTCTTCCTGTTTAGACATTAAAACACCTGTCATGTAGGCACAAGTAATGAGCATCAAGTGGATTTGATTTCTTTTTTTCAGTAAAGTGATTGGGCGGGATTATCGGGCCTGACGCATTGGACGTGCCGCTCGGGATTGTTGTTGGCATGGCAACCAGATGCTCCTCCCTCATGTATGTTTGCCGTCCATCTCCAATCAGCGAGTGGATTCTTAAGAATCTCCTCGTCACGTGGGAGAGAGGGTGGGGGGAATCATCTCATCACTGTCAACCAATCGCAACCGCAAATCCCACATTCCACCATCATCATCATTCCCGGACTCGACCCAGCGCGGCTCTCTGTGACCTTTAGGACCCCATGGGTTAAACCTCAGAGGTAATTGTTCAAGTTTGATAATAAAAATCAAACCGCAAGAACCAGATCTGAACCGAGCAGCCTGTGTGGCGTGGGGTAAATGTACCACACGTCACACATACACACATTAAAAAGAAAAAAGTCCAATATCTGAAAAAAAAACAAGCTAAACTAGCAAATGAATTTTAAAAATATGGAGTATGAGAGCATGGGCTGAGGATTTTACTACAATATTGTTGTAGTATTGTTGTGATAACTATAAAAATGATGATAATGATTGATCACTTCTTGTTTTAGGTATCTGAATCTACTCTTGATTCGTTCCTATCTGAAACAAGCATTTTCAGGACGCCACATATGTATTGAAGTGCGATTTATACCACTAAGCTGCACATAGACACTTTGTCGACTCATTTCTTAATTTACTGATATTTTTTGATGCTCTCATAGAAAAAACAGTGACGAAAATAGCAAAATAAACATTTCAGTCCGTTTTTTTCAAATCAACAATATATCAAAATTTTGTATCGTGACAAGAAATCTTTTGACACAATAATTGCCCACCGCGAGAGCACATCATGAAATATTTGTTTGCATGACAATAACTCACTGCTTCCCTTTAAATTTAAGAGGCTTTGTCATCTAGTGAGTCAGAGACGTTCATCATAAGATTTAAAATTAATTATCTCCATTTTCTTTTTACTGCCACTACCTGGTCATAAAATGATTGACACTCTGCGTCACGTTCTCAAATTTACCCTCATGAAGGAAACAGAGAAGAACGGGTGAAACAAGCAGACTTGTTTTTGTGTGGACAACAATAACTGACTGAAAGCCTCACCTGACGTGCTTCTCGCAGTAGTACCATTTGATCTGGGGGGCAGGGTAGCCTTCGGCCACACAGCGCACCTGTCCGTCCACCGGGCCCCCATGATCTATGATCGCAGGCTTACCTGGTAAACAAAAAGCCGACGTCAGACTGGGAGACCGTTAAGTAATAAATTGCAGGCTGTCAAGAAAAAAGGCTGTTTGCCCTCCTTCAGGCACAGCTGCGAGCTCGGTGAAGCGCAGTCTGGAGGGTTGGACTTCATTAAATTATAATTCCTAAAGGTCAGCTCCCCTCGTGGCAGCAGGCGAACGCTAATGCTGCGTGGAGAAATGCATTTTCATGATGTGGCTCAAGGGGAGAGAAAACCTTTCACTTACTGATAACAAACACGGAGAAGTTGTGCTTTACCGCCGCGTCGCCGTTGGAGGCTTCGAAGGTATAAATGCCACCTTCTCCTGGTTTGAGCCGCACCAGCCTCAACTCACTGACGTAGCTGAACATGAGACAGACAGATTTTAATCAAGGATGTCTTTTTTTTTTAAGGTAAGAAAAAATAAGGAGAAAAACCCTGAAAATCACTGGATATCAAGTCCTGTCTGAGAGAGAAGTTCACATGTTCACATGGATAGATGATCAGTGCTTTATTTGAGTAATGTGTTCCCTTTCACACATCTGCATTGCATTTGTTTCACTGACCCACATCCAGCTGAGGATCGAAGTGTGCGTCTTTATTCTTCCTACATTAACAGAGATTTTGGATAACACCTGATTTTTTAAATATCCAAGACATGTGCATTTCACTGGCTTCATTTACCGAAATCACCAACCGATTACACTTGTAATCTGGCTGTGAGCGCTTCATGAGAAACCCTGGGGCGACGCTTTTCGCCCCAGCTGTTTCTCAGGAAGACGTGACCTTGCAGCGAGGCCAAGCCCGCTAAATTCCAACGCTCTTTCTGCAACACTTGCTTGCACTCTGCATGGACGCAGTTCAGCGAGTTTGCATTGTGCACGCACCTGTAGTCCCTGCTGTGCGTGGTGATGACATGGTCGCTGGTGTTTCTGAGCTTCTCGCCCATGAAGCTCCAGGAGACGGCGTGCGGCTTTGGATACGCCTCCATGCTAACGTTCAGAGACAAACTGTCGCCGGTGCGGACCTGGAAGGTTCTGTTGTGGATTTCTGCGGAGCTGATGAATCCCCGTTCTGAAATAAGAACATAGGAGGCGTTTACAACACTGGTGGAAAAGATACGCTTCCAGACTTGTGAGGATGGGAGGTGTAAAGACTTTCGAGTAGCCTACGTCACATCAACTCAGCTTGTGCATGAAAACCTCACTGCTAATACAAAAAGACTCTCTCAGGTTATGAACAGTTCAGATTCAATTTTGACACATAGGAAAGACTGGGGTTTTTTTGGCAGCAAATTAGACAATATCTAAAAGTTGAATTTCATGCAGCAACGGGCAGCATAATAGCTTTGATTAGCCGGAGGGCTGATTAAAGACTGAGCTTAGCTGCGGTCTTGTCAGGAGTTAGATGAGAAAAGTCACACCACTTCCATGACTTGAAGGAAAAACTCTGAATACTAATAGTATTTGTTAACTCATCTCAGTTTGATTTAAAGAAAAAAAGTGTCCCTGGTATTCAAATATGTTTTTACTAGGCTTTATTTTAGAAGGCTCTTTGAAACCAGGACATTTCTGCTCTATGAGTCTAGTGTCGGCTCATTAATCCTTGGCTATACCCTCTTACCTCTGCAGGATCGCGCTGGTGCTGGTGTTTATCTCCAGCGATCGTTCGTAGAAAGACAGTAAACTGTTTGCAGAACGCAGACATTCATGTAAAAATAAATGCTGCGTGTTTTTGTTAATTTTACCAAACGTGACGTAAACCAAGCTAATCAGCATTAGGCCGGCAACTAAGGGTTATCTTAGTAATTGATAATTGAGTCAATTACTATGATGATTAATCGATTACTAGGATGATTACTAGGACATTCTGCATATTTTTTATTTAGCCACCTTAAACCTTTTTTGAACTATATTAGAAATATGTTAAAAGATGCAGAACAAAATCAAAATCAATTCAAAATCAATTCTTTTTTTAAAATAACAAAGTAAACATTTCACTGCCAAAAAAGTGCAGTGATCATTTGTAGATTGATTCATTTTTTGCATTAACCACATAAATCGAAGTTTTTATTTTTACTGAATTTTAACAACGTTAAGCTAAAACTTTGAGAAGCTCTGGGTAGAAGATATTTACAAATTTTTGTTTTTGTTTTTATCTGAAAGTCAAATGCATATGTTTCTTGCAGTTTTGGTTTAATGCTATGAATGTGTTATTCCACAAATGGAAATTTTTTTGAGCCTGTACGCTCCAGTTAACGATGAGTCAATTACTAAATTATTTGACGATTATTTGAATAATTGATGTATCATTTCAGCCCCAATCAGCAACCTTTGCTATTTTGTTGCATGAAGTAGTAAAACACTAATAAAATTCCTCAAGGACCTTGCACTAATATTGACACTCTTCAGTCTTTTGTTACATTACATCACATTTATTTAGATGTACACATGCATCCACTGTGTGGATAAAAATTGAAAGCCACGCATCATTTACTTTTCACTTTACAAAGGTTAGCTGCTAAATCATTGCATGGCTTTATTTCGATCTATCAGATAAACTCCCAGTTGAATACATTTCATCAGAAGTTATGCTGTGATAAAATGTGGAGAAGACAGAGGAATGCATATACTTTTGCAAAGGAGTGTTAAGCTTCCATTGAGTGTATTCACAAATATATGCAATTTACAAACATGTACAGCTGGAAACCAAGAGCTTGTTAGGGAAACAGGTACTTAGTTTTAACACATTATGTGAAAGGCAAAGATTGCTAATCAGAACTTCCCCTGAATTTATTTCAATTTCATCACTGGGCAAGTAAGTAGAGGAAAATATATATATTTTTTCCAGACTCACCATAAACGTCCAGCCACACGGACATCGTGCTGTTCCCTTTTTCGTTTCTGGCTTCGCATTTGTAACTCCCAGCGTCCTGTGGACGCACGGACTCTATTTGCAGCGTGAGACTGCGGGCGTGAGAGTAGTCCTTCATCAGGATGCGTGCATCGCCATCAACCTTTGCTGGTTGCTGTGGACACCAGATGGCACCCTGTCAACGCCCAGAGATCTCTAGAGATTAACCCCGAAGGCATTTCTATCCTTGCCAAGCAAATACTAGCAAAGATGCACAAATGCATGCAATATGACCACAGACACATCCAAGATCCTATTGCACATGCAGAGACACCTTTGACCCTCCAGCCGTTTGCACGGGAAAGGTAAACCCTTTTTTTTTTTCGACATGCAAACCGTCTAAAGCGCGCTCTACAGCAAAAGGCAAAGCTGACGGGTCTCACCGAGCCAGGTGGTGTCACCCAATTCACTGTGAACTCTCCATTGACATTGGTGGCATTGCAGGTAATCAACAAATTTTCATTTCGCGTTAGAATGATTCTCCTGGGATGCTGCATCTGAATTTCAGGAGGACCTAAAGGGACTGAAATAAAACAAGTTGACCCAGATCAGAGCTCGACCTCAACAGAAACGAATCACAGTAAAGAAGCATTGAACACATAAGACGCATTTTTACCTCTCTTGACTGTCAGGGAGTATTTTTCTGATTTCACAGCTCTTCCCTCGAGCGTCCCCGTGCACACATAGCATCCTCCGTAAGTCAGCTTTGCGTCGTGGATGATGATCCCTTGCTCCAGGCTCGTAGAATACCGGAGACCAGCGGGGAGGGCTTCTCCAGAGCACATTTCCAAAGTTAAGTTGAGCATACTTGGATCAGTTGCAAGGCATGGGATGGCAGCGTTGTTTCCCTCACGAATAAGAATGCTGTTTATCGCTGATTTTCTAAAGGGATTCTCTGGATCTGCCAAGAAAACGCAATTGCACAGGTTGTGTGAGAGAGCGGGACTTCACACTGAGTTGCTGAAGCTTTATGACTATATGTTTTGTTGTGCAGACATCTTGGCAGACCGGCAGGCCCTGGAAATGCAGAAAATAAAAACGATGCCTCTACACTTTTTGCTCTGACAGTCAAAGAATGTCAGAAGTTATGCAAAGTTGTTTTTTTCCCCCAAGTTTCCAAGTAGCTTGACTTTTCTCGAAACATCCCAAACTAAGTCACATTCAAAGGCCATTTTGCAAAAAAGCAGGAAGTGATTTCAAAGAAGGTGAACAATAAAACAGATTTAAATACTGCATGACGCGGTTCCAGTAACAATTTGAGTTTGAGGAACTCCAGAGTGATTTTGGGTAAAATCTTCCTTTGCTGCTATTGTGTGCAGGAGAACAGCAGCTTCGGGGAATGCTGAAGTCAGATGCTTCATGCTTGTCATGAGTTACTCTCTGTTTCCTCTTCTGATGCAGTCTGTTGCATTGGGGGAAATATATAAGACCATCCCTTTACATCTACCTATCTATCCATCCATCCATTGTCTGTTCACCCTTGTCCCAAGTGGGGTCGGTAGTTTCTCTCCAGCTGCGTTCTGTCGCAGGACAACAAACAGGACAAACAACCATGCAGCTGGATTAGCCTAACAGTCATGGTTTGGACTGTGGGAGGAAACCAGAGGACCCGGAGAGAACCCACGCATGCACGGGGAGAACATGCAAACTCCGTGCAGAAAGGCCAAGGCCGGGAATCGAACCCAGGACCTTCTTGCTGCAAGGCAACAGTGCCCCATCCCTTTACAACCAAGAGTAAAATATAATAATAATAATAATAATAATATTAATATTATATATTATAATTATTAATTATTATTATTATTATTATTATTATTATTATTATTATTAAGTGATTATGGCTTTTCACCAAAATTTTGCAGGTTTTCAAAAGCGTTTTTTGCATTAACTCAACAATGTAAGCCAACAGAGGCAGCAATCGCACATAATAATGAAATCAGGTTCTCCTCTTTGTGAATCAGGGTGAAGGATTTTGAACTGCTATTATTCAGGATTTACCATGTCCACTAAAATATTCAGCCTCTAAGAAGAAACCGAACTCTAGCACCTTAATCTGTTCACAGTGTTCCTTTCAACCTTTGCTAAAAATCCCAAACAAACAAGATTGTTTTACGTAACCATATATCCGAGCTTGTTGCCTCTGAGACAGATACAGGACTGCTGAGCGAATGATCAGCACATGATAAGAGCCTGCAGTGATGGCGCAGGGCCAGAGGGATGCAGGGGGTCACACAGGAAAGGAAATACAGTAAAACTCAGTCATGCACTCAATAAATAGCTCCAGAATCCTCCTCACCTGTCTGGGGCAGAGTTACACACACCTAGTTGTGCAAAACAAACCCACATGTCTCAGCATCCTGTCAGTAAAGACAGTACTGCCAAAAAATAAATGAATAAAACGAACTTTGACCGCTGTCGCCTGGAGTCTGACTTCATGTCCTCCTGATTGAAGATGGCCTCGTCTCACAAACACAAACTCACAACAGATTCACACACAGAACCACCCAGATACCTTTCACGAAGACGAAGATGGAGGCTTCCTCGCTGGACTTTTCATCCCGGCACATGTAACGACCACTATGGACACTCATCGCTTTGAGGTAAAATACTCTCCTCATCCCATCGATTTGCGTTGTTTTAAGAGGTCTTTGCCGGTTTTCTCGCCACCACTGTGTCTTGTTTTCACTCTTGCATCGCAGGTCGAGGGGATGGTTGAGTGGGACGACGAGTTGGGCCTGGTTGGGAATGATAGTGGGCTTGGTGTTGCCTGAAATGTGATTGGAAAGAGGGTTATGATTCTGGAAGGTAATCTCAGACTTCAGCATCTAAGCTACCCAGCCTGCCTGTAACGTTCATGACAAGAGCTTAACAACAAATCTCTCATCTAGAAGATTAATAAGGTCCACATCAGACATTAATAGTCGTTAACTGACATGTGTGTTGACAAACACAAGGTAAAAATGAGAAGATTTACATTGGACTCCCATCTTGCCTCATATGAAATCTGAAACAAAATACCAACTTCTTCCACTTGGACATCAAGCAGGATTAAATATACAAGCAAACAACAATCTCTTGTAACGTTTCACCTGGGACTCTTGGAATCGTCCAGAGATTTAAGCCGGCATAAACCATAAACAATGCAGGACAAAACCCAAATTGGGTGATTTTACTAAACGTAACCCCGAATCAATGGCGGAAAGATCCAGAACTGGGTTGATTTTGAAACACAAGTTTGGTAATGGGATTCATTTAACGTACTGCCATGGTTTTTCAACCAAAACAAAAAAAATGGGCTAAAGTGAGAAATGTTCAAAGCTATCTAAAAGTGCAGTGAGAAGAAGGGATTGCTGACTGCTTCATAACAATGTCAGGTTCCCTAATGCTAAGGGAACAAACCCATTCTGTAGGTTACGTTAACACAAGCTCTTGGCATTAATATTTGTTCCTTTGTGATTTCTAATGTAACAATTTGGAAAGACAGCACTGAGGTTGAATCAAAAAAGAATAAAAGGTGTTTTAATTGGTCTCTTTTAACATGTACAGTTTTAATGGAGACATCATCACTGCAGCAGAATACAATGTTGGGTACCTTTTTAGACTCTTCGACCCCCTGACAACAAAGGTCACAATATTTGATTCAACGTTTGCTCAAAATCTACCCAACTTCATTTCTAACATCTTCAATCTAATATAATGGATGATCTGACAGTTTATTTAAACGGTTAGAATTAAACCCTAGAGGTAATATGAGCAGAAATCTTTAGCAAAACACCATGATCTGAAATGACCCGAAAAATTTCATTTTTTGATGTATTTTGTGTCTTTATCGACCAAAAAAATTACAAATAAAAACCAGACAAAATGCATAATCACTCTTTGTCTTCTGAGAAAAAATCATGGTGTTTTTTTTTTTTTTTTTTTTTGCTTCTTTTGTTTTTGCTTTTACAGAGCAAACCCACTTTACATGATCAGTGCAAGAAACCACAGCGGGAGTGTTGAACAGGCAGCTGCTGATGGAGATACGGCCTCAGTTGGCGAACTCCTCACTTCGACAGAGACAAAAAAGGGAGGCGCTGTCGAGTGTGGGATGGTTGGCAATTTGAATGCAGGATTTGACCAATCAGTAAGAAGATAATCGGGGTTTGCCCTGGGGTTTGAAAAGGTTGTCTCGATCAGGGTTGGGTGCAACCTTTGGTCGGCCCACCTCTGCTGAAAGTCGAGATTTTTTCTTGGGGTTTAATCGGGGAACGGGTATTTAAAAGTAGCAGAACCAAATGTATGAATGTCTCGACTTATCAGAACTTGTCATTTTTGTTCTCTAAAAATAACACAATCAGGGATGTGCACAAATAAACTCTAGATGGAGCTGGAGCACATGCACCTCAAAAAAAGTGCCCTTTTGAAATCTTTTATTATTATTATTATTATTATTATTATTATTACAGTGTATGTAGTCCACTGTAGGATTTTGCAGATTTAAAAGCCTAAATTTACAGACTGCCTGTAACAAGTGGCACAGTACAGCCAGCACAAGGGGCCCTCCTCTGAACACCAGGCCCCCAAAATGTCTGTGCACGCCACTGAATACAATACATGCATTACAACAAACAATCTGATCAGAGCAGGCTGACGGGACGGAGAGGGAGTACCCCCTCCCCGGGCAGCATAAAGCAGCTGTAAATCTTTTCAACATAACCACTTCTTCAGTTCAGTTAACACTGCTCATGACCCGTGACGTCAGCAGAGACGCCAGATACTTCACAGAACAACTGGAATAGCAAAGGAGAAGACAAAGCCAGGAAGAAAATGAATGCATGTCGTTTTTAAACGAATCCAATCACGTGTTTATTTCCGACATCATCATCATCATAAAACCTGGCTTATTATCTGTGCACCATGCGCAAGCGGGCTTTAGGAAACTTCGCGGCGTCCCCCAGGTTGCATCACACGACGGTTCAGCCGGAGCACACGCCGCCTTGAAATGTGCCACTCATTGAGACGATCAAAACAAAACACCCAGATGACCTGATCGAAATTGTCCGATCAGGTCTTTGATCGTACGCGAGAAGGCCACGAAGTCCACCTGACGCCGCCCTGCCCTGAAACGCCTCAGCGCGGCTGCAGGGCGCAAAGGAAAACACCTCGCTGGTTCAGTTTCCCACCCCGTTTTCAGAATCGGCCGAGGCGCCTTCAATATGCCCGTGAATGTCCCTCCGATGGAGAGAGCATTCATCCACTCTTCCTGACTCTGGATCGCTCCACGGAGACCACGGGTGGCCCGTTCTCTCTAAAACAAGCAACGAGGTTCTCCCGATCGGCTGTTGTGGACCTTGACCTTCAATGTCCACGCTTCTGAAGAAAGAGCCAGAGTCGTAACTATTGCAATGTGTTTTTACGCCAAAGCCCACTGAGAGTGGGAACAGGTTTTAAAGCGTCCCACTGAGTCCAACACATCATCTCGGAACTGGGAAACACACACACACACACACACACACCACACACACCACACACACACACACACACACACACACACACACACACACACACACACACACACACACAAAGAGAGACAAAAACAAGCCAGTGAAACGGATCGAAGTCGTTTGCATGTTTCCTCGGAATCACAAGCCAATATTTTACATGTTGACGGTTACACGCGCTGCTGCCGGTGGATTATTTGCATCTAGTTAACATTGCTGGAGAGCCACAGTTCGCTTCATGAGTTCTTTCTACTTTCTTTCTCCTGCTCGTTCGTTTTCCACCAACGGCGCCTTGTTTCTTGATTAAAGCGTGAATTATTTAAATAAGCGTCGCGTTCAAATCGCCGGAGTATCCGCTTCCCTCATTGGGTTTCTGTGAGGGTTCGGGTTGAACTACAGACTCGGGGCTCCGACTCCGCATCACAGCACTGTTGCAAAAGCATAAAAAAACCAAATCGACTATACATATATATACACACACACACGCACACACACACACACACACACAGCCTGTTAAAGTTCAACACACCCTTTCTCCTCCACCCCCGCGTGAGAGAACAGCAACAAGTTGCGCGTGAAGGCACACGCTCGCCCAGCGAGCCTTACCTGGGTGGAAGCTCAGCTGCAGAAACACAAACAGCAGTATCCAGAGGTATTCCATAGTTAGTATTCCATGGGTCCAGCTGTGAGGGTGAGCCAGTGCCGCGGTGGTCAAGCTGCTGTCGCTCTCGCTCGCACTTCGCCGAGCGCGTCGGGCTCCGGTGGAGGAGGAGGGGGTGGAGGTGGTGGAGGAGGGGGGGAGGGGGGGGGGGGGAAGAGAAGTTTGGTGTCGACGGAGGCGCGCGCGCTTCACAGGGCTTTAAAGGCACAGATGCTCGGCAGCCTGACTGAAAGCATGCTGTTGTCCTGCAGCGGACCGGAGGGGACGGCGCGGGCCCACCAGGTGGCTCTGCCTGAGGAGGAGAGTCAAGAGCATGTTTATAGGAGCCCGGTGGTGGAGCCTATTTATTTTACTCACACGGGAGGGAGGGAGGAAGAGAGAGAGAGAGAGAGAGAGAGAGAGCGAGAGAGAGAGAGAGGTCGGTGTCTGTGACCACTTGTCTCTGCTTCCCCGCGGGGAAAAAAAAAAGACTAAAACAGACGGAAAGAGGAAGAAAAGAGACATATATCCAAGTTACCCCCACCAGCCACAGCAGGTCCACCTAAATTAAAGCTGCCCTCGTGGACCAGTCAAAGTCTGGGCTTGGAGCGCAATTCATCTGCTGTGGAGTGAACCTCAAATGTCCACGCTGTGAAAGACCCCACCCTCCCCAAATGTGGCTGGATTGAAGCAAATCTACAATGAAGTGCAGAGGGTAAAAATCGCTCCACACACAAATGAAGAACGGAAATTTGGGGTTGGAATCGTAAAAAACATGAAAGACAGAATTTCTTTTCTTTTTTTTAAGCAAAAAATATAAGTGGCCCAATAAATAAATCAAGACACTTGATTTTAAAAAGAACTTCATCTCACGTTTTATCATTTAATTGACCATCTTGTTTATTTTCTCAATTGAGTCAAAATTATATATTTAAGCACTTTTTTCTTCTTTTTTTGCGTTTATTTTATGTTTATTTTTTTTGCATGTTCTTCCATTTACTTACTGATGCCTCTGTAATTTCTTTTATCTTTCTTTGTCTCTTTATTCTTAATGTTCTTTACCAAAAAACTATTCTTCTGTTTTTACTTTACTGTATGCTTTTCTGCCTCGTTGTACTGATGACTGCGCCTTAAGGCACAACGCCTCAAGTTGAGCCTTAAGGCGTCAACTTTTGACTCTTGGTTGGTTTAAAGGCTGGTTGTTATAGAGCTGGGGCATTTGGTGATTTTATTTGAAAACAACTCTGTAACTCTGGACTTTATTATTTATCTCTTTTTGTAACATAAAATATGTTACAGTTAGTTGTACTCATATGTACAGATGTCGTCAAACTGGTTTGTTGTAATTTGGAGGAAGCAGCAGCTGAAAGTGGCTCCCGGTTGCAGATCCCAAGTTGGAAAATGGTCAAAGATTCCACTTAATTTTTCCATTATTTGACAAAGTCGTGTCACATATAATTTGTTTTTCAGTTTTTCATTTGGAGTTATTTAAAATTAAAATTAAACCAAACCAAATTCAACATTTCTTGTGTTTCACTCAAAGAGGTCACGGTGCATGTTGGCCTACAGAACGGAGCGTCGCGAAGTGAGACTGTTCACATCCAACTTTATCTGCTTCTCCCTGCACTTTCCACCTGATTTACTTTATCCTCTGTTTATGCACCGTGTTGCTTGTATTTCCAATTTGGGATATGCATTTTGTCTAAACCTTGCTCTTACATGTCATATAACCAAAAATGTCATGGTTTTTGGTTGTTTGGGTTTGATTTTCTGTTTGTGGTTTATTTTATTTTTTTTTTGTGAAAGTGTGTAGCTTATTCCTAAACGTCTAATTTCATTAAAGTCTTAATGGTCGTCTTTTGTTAAGGCTTATATTGAAAACATGCATTTTCTTTTGCGTCTTTGCTGCTTCTGTGTTCTCTTCTAACCTTCTGCTTTGAATCTGGATTTATTATTCTGTTGGATTTTGTCTCTACTTTGCTGCATCTGTGTTCCTCGTTTCCCACGTTCCCAGTTTATTCTCAGTCCTTTCTCTGTCTCTCTCTCTTTTTTGTTTCCTTGGTTAAACTAGAGATTACTTGTATTTGCTCACAGCTGCACCCAATTTCTAATCAACCATTTACTCTCTGTTCAGCAATCAACTCTCCTGCATAGACACATTTCACCCCCCCGTTTCTCCTCATTTTTAAATAAATTGTTGACTTCTGCCTCCTCCCTTCATTTTACTGTTTTGAGACAAAGTGTTTGCGAGAGACGAGCATGCACAGCAATCAACCGGACAAGGAATAAATCTATATCGACATCAGTTTAAAGTTTTTATATAATTTTCATCTTTGCCTCTTAGTTCCCAGCCTCTACATCAGCAACCATCACAGCTTACAGATGAAAAGATTTGTGTTTCTTGTTCAAACACGAAAGGTTAAACTTCCTGCGACCTGCAGTGCTTTCAGGTGTCACTCCACTGGTGACATTTTCAATGTGAGTGTTTTTGTAATGTTTTTGTGAACTTCTGCATAGTTGTTGTTGATCTATGTTTTGGTTTTTGCTTTGTTTTTTCAAGAATGACTGTAGCTTTTGAAAATGGGACCCACGCTCAGATCTTTGGTTCTCCGACTTCACGAAGGTTTGGCCAACGTAAAAACATAGGACTGAGTGTCCTATGTGGTGGAAAAGTACAAACATCAAACATGAGCTATCAAATAGTTCATCAAAAACAAGTGTTTGTTTTTTTTAACCCTCACAGTTTG